TTATTAGTGTTGACACCCCTTTCAAGAAAACATAGCACTTGTATAAGATAAAACACCAAAGCAAACAAAGCTAAAAATTATTTAACATAAATATATATAAATTAGTTCTAAAATTAGATATATATCAAGCAATTGCTTTTCTGAGATTATGATGAGAGACAAGTTTTCATTCTGCCTTACAGCATAAGAAAGCTGACATCATCTTTTTCTACCAAAGCATGGACAGTGATCTCCAGCTTTTAGAAAGCCTTAAAATTATAATTTTGCTTATTTTCACAGAATCACAGAATTATTGGGCTTGGAAGGGGCCTCTGGACATCCGGTCCAATGCCCTGCCTAGACAGGGTCACCTAGAGCAGGTTACATAGGAACACATCAGGTGGTTTTGAATGTCTCCAGAGAGGCAGACTCCATGACCTCCCTGGCAGCCTGTTCCAGTGTTCTGCCACCCTCAAAGTAAAGAATTTCTTCCTCATGTGGAAGTATAACCCCTTGTGTTTTAGTTTATGGCCATTGCTCCTTGTCCTGTCACTAGGCATCACCAAAAAGAGTCTGGCACCATCCTTCTGACACCTCCCTTTGAGATATTTATATGCGTTGATGAGGCCCCTTCTCAGTCTTCCCCAGAGTAAACAGTCCTAGCTCCCTTAGTCTCTCTTAATAAGAGAGATGCTCTAGACCCCTAATCACCTTTGTGGCTCTCCTCTGGACCCTCTCCAGTAGTTCCTTGTCTTTCTTGTGCTGAGGAACCCAGAACTGGACACACTATTCCAGATGGGGCCTCACTAGGACCAAATAGAGAGGGAGGATCACCTCTCTCGACCTGCTGGCCACACTCTTCCTAATGCACCTGAGGATACTATTGGTCCTCCTGGCCACAAGGGCACACTGCTGGCTCATGGTCAACTTGTAATCCACCAATACTCCCAGGTCCTCAGCAGGACTGTTCTCTAGTAGATCAGCTGTACTGGTACTTGGAGTTATTCCTCCCCAGGTGCAGGACCCTACACTTGCCTTTATTGAACCTCATTAGGTTTCTTTGCCCAATTTCCCATCCTATCAAGTTCCCACTGAATGGCAGCACAGCATTCAGTAAAAATATGTGGTCTTCAGATAAATCAGAATAAAAAGACCTTGACAATGTGCGCAAGGGGATTATCATGTGCAAAAAATTGTTGTGGTAGAAACTGAGGACCATCCTCCCTTGCCCAGAATTTCGTTTAAGAAGACCAATTCCTATTGGACAAAGAAAGGACTTTCTTCCCAAGTTTTTAGGTTGAAGTAAAATGGGGAAAACTTTTTGGCTGATGGTCAAACTCCAGATGATGGATTCTTCTTGGAGTTCCATCTCTCCATCTGGCTGGCTGGAGGGCCTGAAGCAGGCTCTGAAATACTTTTGAGAAGTGTCAAGTGCTTTAAGGCTGTTTTTTATGTGTGAGTCCCCAAGCTTCACATTCTCTCTTGAGCTTGTGGAAGTTGTGGCACTGGATCACATTAGACATCCCATAGAAAGTGTCATTACATCAGTCACCTGTTTATTTGTTGGAATCCTAGTTTTCTGAAGAAATCATTGCAAAGGGAGAGATCAGGTCCTTGTTGTATTACGCTTTCAGTCATTTATAAAGCAGAATGCAGCAGATCCTCAAGTAGCTTTTTATTTTCTTTAACTTATGGGTGTGTCTCTGAGAGGAAACACATGTTTCTCCTCATGGTCAAGTCCTGGAAGTTGCAGTTTAAATTTGATGAAGTGTTTTATTCCCCCAGATAAAAATAAATAAATAAAAAATTAGATTTAAATGCATTTGTTGTTGAGGAAACTCAAGAATCCTCCTAATTAAGACATTTCTTAGAAAGGTAAAATTTTTATCTGGGAACATAAAACACTTCATCAGTTTTAAAGCCACATCTGCAAGGACTGTATCAAGAAGAGAAACAGGCATTTTTCTTTATTCTGGCTTGTCTGTGTATTTAAGACTTTTAACAACAATTTTAAAAATATTTAAAGCCAGTTAGAAACACTTGCAATATAATAGGGATAAGAGTGCCCTTCCTCCCTCTGTTTTTAATCTGGTTCTCTTGATGGAATAAACTACAAGGTTGAATTGGTAACTGGATTATTGCCTCATAAAACAGCACGAGGTTACTATTATCCTTTAATTTTATATCTTTATTAGGGAGTAATGTTGGTCTTATTTAAATCACTGACTTCTCTAATGGTTTTTCTCTTTTACAAATTTATGAAACTAAACCCTAAAGGATTTGGTCTAAGTGCAGTTGGCATAACTGCCATTATAAAAATCTTTGGGTTAGCAGTTGGTTATAATCAGCTGCTTTAACTGGGCTCAAAATGTAGCAGGATTTAGCTGTTGATAGGTAGAATAATGCTGATAAAATATTAATGCTGAATTTTATTTTAAAAAGCTGAATTTCCAATAAGAGCATTTGAATTTTGATGCAGCATGAAGATGAACAATAGTGCTCTGGAAACTGTATAATTTAGCACGTTCATGCAAAGGATATATCTAACACATTGTGTGTTTCTGCTAAGATTAAAAAAACTTGTCTTTGTCTTGCAATTCAGTAAAGTAACATTGGAAACTGTTGAAGGCTAGTCTTTTCTAGAAGGTGGCATACAAGTGGCATATTTAGTGATGCATTCCGGTGAATACATCCACCTGAATTTTGGGACACAACACATACCGTGGGTGAGTCATTGCAGTCCTTAATAGGAAAACTGTTGGATTTATGTCATCAGGGTGTATTTAAGATATCAATACACTTTGTTTTTTAAGGAAAAATGTGGCATCCATCTGTTGATTTCAGAGTGCTTTGGTTAAGGTCATGATCAATAAGAAAAGAAACACTAATATGGGTCTGTCTGTTATGGTATGGCTCTGTAGTTGAGTTATAGTTGAGTTTTACACAGGAAGTGAATGATCTGTCACCTTCAGTGGCTGACTGACAGAATTGGAGCATTTACTGTTTTAATGCAAGGCAGGTGCTGACTTTTCAGTCAGTATTAGTCAAATTGTTCTGAGTTTTGTATTTTCATTGTTTATTTCTGCAGACAATCTTACAATGCAATAACATGCATGTACTTCAAACTTTAAATTAGACTAGATTTTATATTTAAGTTATTGATGCAACATTTTGGTATTGGTTATAAAAATTCAACTCTGTTTGGATTTCTTCCTTTGACAGGGACTGCTGCAGGCAATGCCATGTAGAGCTGCTTTCTCTTAAAATACCCACTGTTCTTAGTAGGTTCCTTTCTGAAATTTGTCTACAGTGGGTGTTTTAAAGAAGCCTTTCAATTCTCCTTTTGTCTTAAATTGAACAAAGGCTGAAGAAGATTTTACAAATACAAGAGTGTGGGCTGCACACTGATCAAAAAACATGGGAAGTGGTTACAGTTTGGGTGAAGGCATCACAGGTGAAGACATTTATGTCTTACATCCCTCTGAAACTAAGAGGACACTGAAAAAACAGAAATTATTTATAGCTCTATGATATGGTGAAATACATGCAACATTATTTTCTTGCAATTGGTCTTTTCCTTACGTAACATCATGGCAAAAATTAATGAAATCTGAATGAAAATAATTTAGAAACTTAGACAAGAGGGAAGACAGGAAGATTTAGTTTGGGGGAAGGAAAAATCCAGGTGAAACTGGGAGGAAAGTAGTTTGGGGCTGTGCATTTGTGTGTGTTCTGGAAAATATCTGATGCAAAACCAATGAATTTTTTAGAGTTATGTTTTGGGGAGTAAATGGAGGTATGTCACGTAAGTGGCACTTGAGATTAAGAGAGCGGGTATTCACAGGGCAGCGCAGGACTGCGGGTGAGAATATGTAGGTGCTATGGCTTGTTTCATGTATATTCCATAGCTCTGGTTCCTTTCAAATGTTGTGCCTGTGCCAATAGAGCTGTACTTTGTTTAACCTCAGAAAAATAGTGGTTGCATTTATGCAGGGTGGAGGTAGCACAAGGTATAAGTGCTTGCTGGTCAGAATATAACAGAGGTCCATAATATGTTTATGTTATTGGGTATACTTCCAGGTAATGGTTTCTTGTGTGCCTTGTTGATAAACAAATCCAGGTAATGTTGATAAGCAAATCCAGGATGTTTGGGTTCCTTAATGTATGTGTTTACATATGGTTATTTATTTTTTCTTTTAAATGTAACATTAATTTTGATTAATAATATAATGATTATTGCATATATGAAATATCCCTGGCACTTTTTTTTTTGTTCTAAATGATGCAAATTTGCATAACTCCAAAACAGATCTTTTCTGAGAATGGAGATCATAGTACAATTGTGTGGCTTTATAGTTAAGGTTAACCTAATGATACATGGGCAGAACTCTTAGGATTTTCCTACTGAAGAGCTCAGTATTTGATGAGAGTGACTCACCCTATTAGAGAAGTCATAGACATAGCAGATAATTAGGGTAATTTCTGTTATTTAGCACTTTGTAGGGACCTCCTTGTTATAAACCGCTTTGTGTACTTTATTTAATCCTAAAGGAATTTAATGAACCTCAGAGAGGGGACTTCATGCTGATGATTGCATAATGACTTTTTTTTCTGCCAGACACTTAATGACTAAGAGTTTATCATTAAATGTGTTAAGCACTTCTGTTCTATAACTCTTTTTCTAATATGTTCTCCCAAGGGTTATAATTGATTGTCTACTTAAACAGCTGCCTGTATTCAACATTTTGGTTTGTTGGTTTGTTTTCATAACTATTTTTTGTCTTGCAGAAGTCAAAGAAAAGTTCCTGTTTCTGTTTGTGTATTTTAGATAATTCCCAAAATAATACTCAAGGTGTTGAAGCACTTTACATGAAATTAGTCTTCATATAAATCAATGAGAACTTCGCTGAAGATTTTAGTGAAACCACAACCTCAGTTAGGGGGTTTGTTTATTGCAGATTTGCCTTAGAAATGAGGACCCTAGACTAAGGTGTCAATTTTTTATCTTCTTTTTAATTTAGACTACTGAGCTGTAAATTAAAGGGAAGATAATTTCTGCTCGTGGAGGAAAAGAAACGCGAATAACCTCAATGGAAGACTCTCAGGATCTAAGTGAACAGTCAGTGAGTACAAATGTTGATAAACATGGATAGAGTGGAATAAATTGAACTCTGTACAAGTTGTGTGAAGGGACTTGGGATTTGAAAATGATAGTAAGATCTGGAGAAAGGTTCTGAGCTTTTAGTTTGAAACCTTCTCTTAGTTCATACATTAAATAAGTGGTTTTAATCTTTTTTACCTGTTGAAAGGTACAAGATCATTGCTATATAGGATTTTGCAGAACTAGAATTGTTGGAGGGATACAATAAAGGTATAGGGGAAAAATAAAATGTTATGAACTTGCACAGTGCTATGCCTTGTTCAAATAATTGCATCAAAATGTATATCCATAGTGATCTGTCAGTTTTGCCAAAGCAAGAGTTACCGAAATCGCAAACAAGATACTTCAGATGGTCAGACTGTGGCAGACGACATACATTAATTGTTTCAGGATTCTCTTGGATTTCAAGGGAATTGCGAGAATTGGCAGTGTATCTCTCTGTTTCATGTCAGAGAGAGATTCCCCTTGTCATTGATGACAGATCTGTGAGAAATGGGGTGGACATTTCTTCTCCTTTTTCCTTTCTTATTTCTCCTTTCCATTAAGGATGTGGTCTCCAGACTTCCTTACCGCCAGACTGCGGTTCGGAGGAGACAGTAGACTCCAAGCAAATTTAAAGTTATCTGGGCTTACCATCCGCAGTATTGGCTTTGTTTTTAGTATCTTAATTTCTTAATGTTTCTTACTGGTCACAGTAGGGGCATATTTTGCAAGTACCATGATCCCCTACGAGTCTCAGCTTGGGCTTAATGTACTAAAGATCAACAAAGGGATTTCTTATTTCTATTTCTGATATGCTGAAAGAGGCTATCTATGTAATAAACTAGTTTTAATATATATTTTTTATAACAGAGACTTTTATGGGTAACACAAGTTCAAGGAAGTGGGAAAACCTGCATGTATTTCTAAAATGTCAGTAATTATGTTTCATAAGGAGTACTTTGCTCCTGACTGGATAGCTCCTATCTGAGACTTTATCTTGGACTAGAGTTTTATTGCTGATTTTAAGTGGTACAGAACTGGAAAGTCTTAACAGTGTTTTAAGTCCCCATGGTGGCACTACTTGGGACAGCTGCGCATATTTAAATTGTTTTAGAGCACGTAAAAGCTACATGGATTCATAATTTAATAAAGTTTTATAAAGGTCATAAAAGATTGGGCAGAAGTTCATGTCTTGCAGTCTGTGAAACAATTGTTCTGTGGAGTATACATGGTGCAGTTATTAATAAGAAGTAGATGAGCCAGTTTAGCTTAGTGCAAAAATGTCTTTTCATAGTAGTTTAAATGTTTTTGCAGCACTGGATGCCTGGTAAATGCATATTTTAGTAGCTATTTTACTACCTCATCACAGTATAATTTCTGTAGTATTTCTCATAATTACTACATATCTTTATGATAATGCATGAAAACAGTCTTGCAGATTAGAAGTTGAGGTGAAATCTGTGCTGTGTTACATGTGGAGGCAGGATCTTCTGGCTTTATACTATTGTTAGTGTCACAGAAAATTGTGATTCAAGACAAGTTTATTCTTCTTACTCTTTGCTAACAGTGACAGAAATTCAGGGTAATGGATGGGAGAGCCACTTCATCACTCCCTTCATCCAGGTGTATACTGAGACTTAAGATCTCACCAAGATGTTGGGCGCTGTCCTGGGAGAAGGAATTGTGCTGTGAGGCCCATCTGCCTAGAGCAGGCACTGACCCTTCATTTCCCAACTTCAAAAGCTGTTTTGCTATTATATCATGGCTAAACTTCTCTTGCACCCAATTTTTAAAAGAGAAAATAGTGTTTCTGGCTTAGTTCCTTAAAAACCACAGGGCGCATCTGTGGACTAGAGATTCCAGGTAGAAGGGGGCATTCTCAAGATGAGGCTTTGGTGGCTTAGGCTCTAGGAAGGTATCAGATGTAAATCCTTCAAGTCTTCTGCTTGAAGTGTAGCTGTAGTGTTTTGTACTGGTTAATGGTTACTGGGTAGTTCTAGGCAGTTTGTGTTTATCAGGCAGAATTTCTGGTTTTCGACATGTTTGGGGAAGATAAGTACTTCATTCCAGCTTCAATATTCCTCTTAGGGAGCTAAGGGCATAAGATTTAGATAATGAAAATTCATGGAGCATAAGGATGTAGTGTATTAGATTATGTGAATAAGCATGAATGTAAGATCTGTGCTCAAACTTGTGCTGGCACCTTGCCTCAAATAGTCTAGTCCTTGGTTACTTGAAAGACTGCGTTTCTCTGCAAGTGGGATAGGTGAGAAGGTGTTTGCTGTTGGATGGTACGTTTGATGGACAGTTGAGTTTTTTTGAATAGAGATATACTTTATTGAATTCATTTCCCTGGGCATTCTGTTAAAGAGTCTTTCACCCTTGGGAAAGGAGGCCAGGCATACTTACTTTGTACAGTGAACAAGGTTAATTTTTAAATTTAATTGCCTTAAAAAAGAGGAACTTTTGCTAATTTCTGCAAGTATATCATCCTCCTGCAGCATGATATACTGTTTTGTAGCTTTTATTCTGACTTCTCCATAAGTTTGAGATCACTATTATTATTTTAATGCAAGTTTTTGCTGTTTACTCTGTCTTGTGTTCTTTTAAAATGCACTAATAGGAAATGAATTGTTCTATGATTCCTATCCTGAAAGTGTATCGCAGCATCCCTGTAGCTATATGAGAAATGAAGTCTTACCCTTTTGTCTCAGGGCAGTGACGGGATGACCACATGTTGCTTCAGATATCTAAGTGCACCTCTGTTCTCTGAGCCTCTGAAGAATTGTGTTTGACTGAATTGAGCAGCTGCTGTTTTCTGAGATGCCAGCTTGAGTAGATGTATTACATATACCACTTAATGCATTATGTCATTAATTTATTTATTTTTCCTGTTTTTGTTTCTGATAAATTCCTTGCTTCTGCTATGTTTTAAATTGTTATGCTTCTGGCTGACCAGAAGTCAGTCTACTTGCCTAATTGTACTGTAGAACCTCTATACCCAGAAAATTGATGTTCTCCCTTTCCTTCACCTTTTCCCATGTGGCAGAGGTGGGGGAATCAAGCCTTAAACTAGCTCGTACAGTGACCAAAAGAGTCAGAATCAGAGTAGAGTTTATTATACTTTGGTTTTCCTGTCTTTACTCACAACTGCATAGGTAAATAGCTCTATTTTGAAGATCAGTGGGAAAATAATTCAAGCTACTAGCTGACACAGAGCAGAGCTGGGATCCTTCAGGTGCAGCTGAGATCCAGAAGATCCCTGCAGCTGGCATGGAGTGGTCTGGGTCGTACTATCGTGGTACTGTACTTCTGGGGTGGGTGTGTGTCCTAAAAATCTCACAACTCTCTTTTTCTTTCCAGTTCAGATGCAGAATATACTTGTACGACCATGCATAAGAAGGAAATTTTCTTTTCATTGATAGGAAGGCTCAGTTTTCATTCATAATGAAAAAGAAGAAAACAGTAAGAGATATATTTCACAGACAGAAGAAAATAACCAAATGGTCCTCCAATGTTCTGGTGAGAGGTCTGTTACTAAGTGCAGGCTGCTATTTAGCAAGTAAAAGAATACTTTAAACCACATATATTTGTTTTACATGGGCAGATGTAGCTAGGTAGAAACAAAGTTTTCATAACTGTGTATGCCATAGACTTTATGCACACTACATTAAAAAAAAAAAGTAGAAGGTATAAGAAAATACATTTTATTTTACTATTATTGCTTCCTTCAAAAAAAGCCAATTTTTTTCTAAATGCTAACCAAAAATACTTTTTTATCAAAAGATGCATGTTAAAAGTTCTTCTACTTAGTTTTGAAATGAGAGAGAAGGAAATTTTGCAGATCTTGTATTTATGAACAACCTAGCAATAGGGAGACAAAAGCTTTTTAAGACTGATCTTGGAGATGGCTAGTAAAATGGTAAATGTTTAGCACCGAAATAGTCCTCTCATGTGCCTTGGTATAGCAAACACATACAGGATCTTGAGAACTACAATTTTACAGTCTTATTTTATTCTTTTCTAGTCGTCACTTGCTGTTCAATCTGTATTAGTAGAAGAAAAAGAATTTGGCTGCTAACTTGCTAGTTTAGGATTTCAAAGGGCCTTATTAGAAACTGGTGTAATTTCATCCCCTGGCCCTTTTATATAACAGCATGCATATTTAGATTACTTCATTTTAACCTAGAATTAAACAATAGATTGCAGTGCTGTAGGACAGGACACTAGCAGATGTGAGGCTAAACCTGAATGAACAGGTTTTCATTTTTCTGATGTTTGGACAATCATCCCCATTGTGCCCTGGGTAAGTTGTTTGTTTTTTATCAGATTATGCAGACTGTTATATCTGTTACTTGTATTTATGGCCCACTGGGAGCTGGACAATCCCTGGCAACCTTTTCAGACAGTGTTTGCCCATTTTCGTTTTGTTTTAATGTGTGAAGCTGTCAGATGTGATCCCTTTGCAGATCAGTTTTCAGCTGTAGCTACTTCTCTGTCACACAAGCACTGTACTTGCAGCATTTAATCTTACCCCCGTCCAGGGTGGGCAGCTTGCTTGCCCCAGGAACTTCAGCTGAAGCTCATTTCAATGAAATGAAAATTAGTTCAAACTTTTTAACTGAGTTTTAAATGTTCTGTTTAATTGTTCTGTATCACAGCATAGCATGTTATGGTTCGTATCTCTGTCATATCAATATCTGTAAGACTTGGAATATTACAGGCAATTAATCTTGTCATATTAGCAATGTTGGTTGAAAGAGATCTCTGGAAGTTAACTAGTGTAGCTTCTGAAGTGCTGGCAGTATGCACAAATATTTTACTTATAAAAGCAAAGAACTGTATCAGTAATATCAGTAAGTGAAAAAATTACAGGTTTAATAAGAAAAAGAAAAAAGTTTCCTTAACAAATGATTACTTGTTTTTAATTGGAATGAATCATTGAAGAAAAATTCCGTAGCTTGAAGTCAGCTGTAATAG